TGGATGAATCTTGCCGAATCATACTAGTTGCATATCATTTATTTGCAATAYTCACTCATTAATGCAAATCTCATCGTGACATGCAACATACATCTCATGCAAGTGACAACATAAATCACATATGCATCATCGTCATTTTCTACATTATACACATGCTTGAATATCATATTGATAATAACAAGTCATCATAATCTTTCTCATCAACATCACCTTTCATATCATGCATATACTTAAATATCATGCACATCAATATAATCAAGTTATCATCATATATGCATATAAACACGTCATGCATATATCATGGATAAAATACTTTTGTAATAATCATGTGTATATCCCATAAAAATCGCATAATGTACTCACCTTGAATCGTTAACGTTCGATAGGTTGTTCTCTCAAAAACGGCAACCTATATGATAATTTATATCATTCCTAAGCATCTTAAATAATCGTAATTAAATTGATTACTATTTCTTAACAATCTTAACACGACTTTTCCTTTTATTGATCAACCCCCGATAAGAAATATTATTAATAATGTTACGTCGTTATAATATTAATTGTTGCTCGTACATTTTATAAAAATGTGCAATACACTTTACATTTTCTTGAACAATAAGTATTTTACCAAAATAACTAAACTAAATAGTTCACAACGTAAATAATATTTTGTGGTCAAAACGTCTCTTTTAAAATTTGTAAGTGAATAACGGTGAGAACATGTCACACACATAAAAATAACGGTCATTCTATAACTTTAAAGTTCAACGTAATTAATACTCGAAATAATGTTTAAAATACCAATTTTCCAAGTCTAGGGGCATTTCAGTATATCTTAAAAAGCTAAATACCAATGGTATAGCTTTAACCAATTCCCTAACTTAGAACATTCTTGGTATATTTCATAAGTCGAATATTAAAACTGTGATTAAAAGTCCAATCCCAAAGCATAGGGGCATTTTGGGTAATTTTATTAAGCAATACTCTAATCGTGAGGTCATTTTGGTAACTTCATAAGGATAATAATCAAAATAAAGCATAGATACCAATTCCCAAGATATAGGATCATTTCAATAATTTATAGGGCGAATATGTAAAGTATCGCTAAAATACCGATTTTCACATTATAGGGTCATTATGGTAACTAAACGGGATAAATAATCGAAATAGGATCAAAGTTTGCATTTTAAACAAACTTAATGAAAGTCTCATAAAATTATTATGCTGGAAATTCAAGGGACTAAATGCTAATTTTTGAAACTTAAATATGTAATGTATATTAATAATAACAGTGAATAATAAAAACAGAACATATAGTTAGCTTGCCGGTTAACGCTTTGAGGCTCCTTGGTTGAGGTCGTGGGTTTGAGTCCCGCCCTCGCCAAGCGCCCTTATTCCATTTTTAAAAGGCTAAACGGGCGCGGATCCTGGGTCGGGCCGACCCGGTCCGTGACCCATGTGAAAACAGACGAAACTGCACAGCCATTGCTGCACGTTTTTGAAGCTTTTTGAGCTTGAAATGGCTCGTTTCTTGACCTTTTTTTTCATTCTTTTTGCACTAAACTCTTGGTAATATTTTTACCAACACTTTAACATAAAGAACACAAATTTTCATCAAGAAATGAGTTCCATTTACTCATTTAAAGTTTTTTTTTAAACTAAAACTTAACAACTTAAAAACATAAAAATCGAACAACGAAAACACAAATATGAGACATGAGGCTACTGGGGTTTAATAGAGTACTTAAAAACGAAACTATAGACATAAAAATCAAAAGATTTGGTTAAGAATCTCACTCAAAAGCGGTGAAAAACCGAGATTTTTGATTTTGAACTTCAAACTCAGATTTCTCTCTCAAAACTCAACGATTTTTCGAGCTATTTGAACCAAAACGTTCCTAAGCCAGAGCTCTACAATTTATATGCCAAGAGTTTTGGCTTATTAGTTGAAGAAATCGGACAAATCGCGAGTTTTAGGCTGATAGGTCATTTTCTTTAAACATATATGTACTATTGGCAAAACATGTCCCTCAACTTTGAAAAAGATGACATTTTCTTCCTTAAACTTTCTGATATTTACAACTAAACCCCTCTTGACGTTATATATCACATTTTTGGTCCAATAATAAAAGAAAACACTTCTATTTTATTTTCATTTTTGTCTTTATTTTTATTATTTATTTATTTAAGATTTCTACTTTATAATCTTTAATTAATTACATAAATATTTTAACATTTCGAATAAGTTTAATAAAAAATATATTTAAAGGCCAATGTAATATTATTTATATATTTAATAAAAAAATGAGTTTTACAACTCTCCCCCTCTTGAAAGAAAATTCCGTCCTCGGAATTTCTACTTAATTTTGGCATACTTATATTTTATCTTTATTTCAAATTATCACGGAATAATCTTTTGGTCATTCAATCTTATTCTAATCATCTATTCATTTCAGTCTTACATGCATGGTCAATTCGCACCTATTATAACTTAATCCTATAATGTCCATAATAACAATTGAATCTCACATTTCCAACAATTGATTGGTAACACGTCAATAATATGTCTATTGATCATAGTGTTATTTATCACCAATGATAATATTTAAATTGCGACAAGGTAATTCAACTACAAACAATGGAACTTAACACCAACGACGAGTTAATTGGCACATAAAACTAGTAAATTCATGCTTAGGTATTTGATAATTAACAAAGTTCCTGACACCGCGCATGGGCAACCTATGCCTCTTCAGCAATCATTTGGATAACTCGTCCTTTGGTTTTAGGCACCTCGGGCTTCTTGTCGTTCGGTCCTTCGAGCAACTTCGGTTGCATAAGATCCTTTTTGGGACACTCATTGGAGCGATGTCCGACAGTCCCACAAGAATAACAAGTAAATCTTGTTTTGCATTCCTTTGACATATGACCAGGTTTCCCACAACTGAAACATACTCATTTACCATACCTACATTCACCATGATGGAATTTTCCGCAAGTGACACATGCGGTCGAAGTTCTAATATTTTCTTCCGAAACTCGGATTTTCTTGGACTCGTTAACGTTGACAGCTTTCCTCTTCAATATCTTATTAGAGGCATCTGGGACATAACTATCCTTTTCAGCAAGGGTGGCAAGTTCAACCGCCTCTTGGAAAGTCTTAGGTTTTGACATTCCCACGAATCTCCTAATGTCCCTTTTTAGTCCATCAACAAATTGATCTACCTTTCTCTTCTCGGGACCGACTTGATGTTCAGCAAATCGAGATTTCTCTATAAAAGTCTCTACATATTTCTCTACAGTCATACTTTCTTGCTCTAAACGTAAAAACTCACTTTCTAATATCCTCATCTGGAGTGGAGAGGAATACCTCTCAATCATTAATCCCTTAAACTCATCCCAAGAGAGAGATGCGGTGTTTGCCAATCCCCTAGTGGCACGAACTGATTTCCACCAATGTAGTGCATTTGACTTAAACATAGTTGATGCAAATTGTGCCATGTCACTAGGTGCACAATGACAAGTCAGGAAACAACTTTCTATCTCGTCTAACCAGTTCATAGCTGCTAAAGGACCATTTTTCCCCTCGAAAATAGAAGGATGGGTGCTAGTGAAGGATTTGTAACTACATCCTTTGTTATCAGATTTCTTAACTTCTTTATGGTCAGAGTGTGCCTCCCCGTTCGACTCCTCATGATTGTGAGATTCATTATTAGTCGACTCCTTAATTTCATAAGTTTCATTTTCCAAAGGTCTGTTATGCTTTAAACGATCTTCTACCATCTTAAGTGTTGCAGTTTGGATCTGCTCAAACATTCCAGGTAAAGCACAAGACCTAGACTTTTTAAATTCTGGCAATGTGCCTTTATCCTCCAAGCTAATTTTCAGTAATCAACAAAAGTTAGCGCTTTGGTTGTGAAATGAATTTGATTGAGCCTTTTCAAGCTTTTTTTTCTTTGCTTTTCTAGACCACGCTTTAACATGACTTGATGTGATCATGAATTTTGACCTAGCTTAATGGGACCAGACTTTTTTGAACTTGTATTTTCTTGATTTTTATGCATCTTTATTATATTCTTTAATTAATACGTTTTATTCTTTTTAATTGAATAGTTATGAATTCGAGTATTTTGAGAAATATTATTTTATTATTTAAAAAATCTTTTGTCGTAGCATGATGTCGAACCTTTAAAATGTAAATAAAGAGTGACTTTGAATATTTTTATAGGCTTTTGTTTCTTTGTCTGGTTATGACATATTATAAAACGTCTATGTAATTAAGTGTACAATCTTTTTTTATCACTTGTATTTATTTCATTCGTCATGTACCGTATTAATTATTAAGCATCTACAACGTATCCCATACGATAGTTCTTTGGGACCATTCGGGTTATTTTGTTATAAGTAAACATTGTTTTCACTACAACAAAATCGGGTTTATTGAACACTCTGAATCTCTAAGCGTCCTAATAAACCACTTTATTAGACTTAGTTTATTGGACCAAAAAAATAAAGTGTCATATCTAAAGGCGTTGTAATAAGTTTATATGACGTTTTTTGACGTCGTAATAAGTTTTTTATGACACTTTTAATATAAAGCGTCCCAATAGCAAATTTATAGGACACTATTTGAAAGTTGTCCTATAAAAACAAATGTCCTATAAAAAATTGAGTTTATAGGACACTTTCTCAAAAGTGTCTTATAAAGTTGCTAATGCGACACTTTGAATTAAAAATGTCCTAAAAACTTGTTAAAACGTTCAAAAACGTCATATAAACTTATTACAACACCTTTAGATAGGACGCTTTATATTTTGGTCCTATAAATTAAGTCCTATAAAGCGGTCAATTGAGACGCTTAGAGATTGGGAGTGTCCTATAAACCCAATTTTGTTGTAGTGTTTCCTGTATCTCTTGTTTATGTCCAAAGGAGATTTGTCTTTTTCAAGAATCGGGATTTTTTTCCGAGAATCCTTTTTTATGAAGAATGGAGCTTTTTGATATAACATATATATCTTGGTGATGACTGATCTGGTAATTCTTTAGATGGTATTATTTTTTAGATTTTAGTCTACTCTATATAATATGATACATACATATACATATATATATACATATACATATATATACAAATACATATATATACATATACATATATATATACATATATATATATACATATATATATATACATATATATATATATACATATATAGAGGGAAGATCAAATGTTAACCCTATATTTTGTGTTAACTTTGAAAACCCTCTCAACCAATCAAATTTCATTATTAATGTAGGGTTTATCTCTTGTTCTTTTTTTAATTCCAATGGTATTTTAGTCAATTGATTCATATGTAACTCCCAAACAATTAATAGGGAGTTACAAACCATCAAATCCCCAAAAATATTCATTCATTTAATTAATATTTTTTTAATATTCATCTTCCATGTTCATCATTATATGAGTTCTAAATCGCATAAGAAACACGGTAGTAATCATCTTCGATATCGATAAAGCTAATATGGATGAACGTAGATGAAAAGAAATCGACAACACCGAGGAGATTACAATGGTTTATGAAGACAATCAAAATTCGAAGTCAGGAAGTCATGAAATTAACCAAACCAGATGTCTTGGTAATAGATGTTTATTTTTTATTAGATTCGTATTAATCGAAATTATGTTCATTACGATGTGTTGTGTTTTTTATAGTTCATCGTGTAGTGAGAAACTTTTTCTTTAATCACAACATGTTTTCATATACATAGATTTTCATCTTTTCATACCATTTATACCATATTCATCGTATAAATGATTGCAAATGATGAGTACCCAAATGATGGCAATTTCACCAAAACGTTAAAACTGTTTAAAGAATGTGTACCTCATTTGGGTCAATTTTGCATCAATATATCCACTAGATGAGGGCCGATGAAACCAGCTCCTCCAGTAACCAATATTCGCATGTTAGCCTGACAATATTAGAATCAGATAGAATTCAGATTCAAGTAACTATAATTTCAACAAATGCCACACATAATGATGAACGTCACCCTTAAAGTTGGAGACAAGAGGAGAATACCTAGAGATGTAAACGAACCGAACCGAATGTTAAGTGAACCGTTCATGAACACATTCAAGTTGTAAGGTTAACACGAAAATGATGGTTATCTGTTCATGAACACATTCGGCGGGAAGTTCGTTTATGTTCGTTTATCTAATAAAGGAACGGACATGATGAACAAGGGGTGAACAACCATATAAGATCAGAAACATATATGAACAAGGGCTGAACAACCATATAAGATCAGAAATATATATGATCAAGGGGTGAACCTTAAACAGTGTGGATGCAATGCATATATAAAACTCCAATTGACAAAGGATCGCTC